CACACACACACACACACACACACACACATACGTATGTATTACACATATTAATAGGAGCTCATATTGAGAAAAGGAAAGTACCATTTGAACTACAGCACAGTGGCGCACACAAATGCACACGAACACAAAAAGACGGCGCTCAGCAGCCAGAGCAACCCCAAAGCTCACATCCAGCATCTTAATAAACCACAGAACAGCAGTCAACTTGCACAAATGCACTCACACACATAAATGACCCTTGGACAAGCCATACACATACTAAAGTGTACACTTCCCAACACACACATACACACACACCGCAGAGGCATACACCTCAACGTGAGTGCATAAGGGACGGCAAATAAAAGAATCTGCATCTCAGACGCACACAGGGGACAAAAAGCAGCTCAAACACTCACACTGAGCGTAAAGATAATTTATTTACAAGTGTGAAGAAAGCCAAATGGGAAGGTGTGTTTTTTATGACACACACAGCCGTGGAGACGTCAGCGGGAAAACTCATTATTGTCGCATGTTCGCACAATGGCGCCCGCCTATTTGCCAACTTTGTTGCTCGTCACCACCGGTATCTTGACAATTAGATGCTCTCTTTCCTCCGACCGCCTTCCCCCGCCCGCCTCCGTCTCCTCTCCCATCCCCCCCCCCCCCACCCCTTCCTGCCTGCCGCAGCCCCTCAGCCACATGAAAGGCCGGCTAAGCGGCGGAGGTCGTGCCGAGAGGGGCGGCATCCTCGCTCCCGGTTAACGGCGGGCCACCGGTCACTGCGTGTCCTCTAATCCCACACCGTTTAAAGGTCCGCCTCGCACGACATCCGCTAATCACCAGCTCACATCGCCTATCGCCCCGGCAACCAGCGCCATCCCACTGGTTGCACGGACACGCCCTGCCGCCCTCTTACACCCCCTTCTCTCTCTCGACCTTCCTACTGCAATTTCATCGCACTTTTTGTGTTTTTGTTTCTTTGCCCAAATCGTTCCACTTTTTTTCTTTTGTGTTGCTCTCACTCTTTTTCCCTAAAAGCCACAAAACTCTAACAGATTATATTCAGTCATCTCAGGAAGCGTATTGCTGCCACACCTGGAGAACAATATATACATAAATACAATTCAATATTGCATACTAGATATGTTTCACTTTTTAACGTGATGCTTTATGTCTAATATGATATGTGGTGTATGTCACTTTTTGACGTGATGAATTGGACTTCCGCCTTTGACAAAACAAAACGAAGGAATTCCTTCAGGCGTCGCCCAATGCGTGTCTTTGTTTTCAATCTGACATCTTTTTAAACACGTGGCCTTTTTTTAACAGTACAGCATTATCAAAGAACACCGTAGTTACATCGCTAGTGAATTAGATACACAAGACACAAAAAGGACTCTTGCATCGAAACATGAAACTTATCTCGTTTCTATGTGAGAAGACATACAATACATGAGGTGTGGAGAACTGATTCAAATGTATGGACAATAGTCCATGAAAGGAGCAGCCATTTTGTGATGACAGCAGAGGTGTTTACTAATGGGGTTAATGAGAGCCATCTATTCATCGAATTAGACACACCTGTGTTTTCTTACGCCCTCATTTCAACAAATGCTTTCTTGGAGGAAGGCGGAAGGCGTCGAGACACGAAGCCAATCAGGCATGGCCTGTTTGATTAGGCCACACCCACTCCTATTTTGTCAGCCAACTGTAGCAATTTTTTTTTTTTTTTTAATGCATCGATCAAAAATGTCACCATGGACTTGGGCTACACTCCAGAAAAAAATACACAACCAAATTTGTGGCGAATAAATAAATAAATATCAATAAAAATCAACAAATACCATACAGGGTGAAAACTCCAAAGACAATGTAGTCACTAACCGATGTAAACACAGTAGTGAAGTCAAAACGATTTAATATTTGTATGGATAAAATTAGGCCATAAATGTAAAACAATTTACTGAAAAAAAAAAAAAGTTAACCGGGGTAAATGAGTGTGTCTTCTTGTGCCGCGTGATGACGGCTACTCACAAATGAGGACCAACTCTATACAGTTGTTTGTACATAAATACACTGGAAAAATGCTGAGAAGATGACGTTATAAACACAGAGTAATGTGTTTGAAGGGTTCAGCAGGGTCTGCAAGCGACCGCTATTAGCCTCAGGTGTTGTGTGGCCTGCTTGCCTTTCATATTCTAAACCGCTTAAAACAGGTAAACAGGACATCTTTATCCTCCTACTCCTAACAACACAGGGATGCAAAAACAACTACGGTGCAAGTCTTTTTATCGTTTTGATTTTTTTTTCTTTTTTTGGATACATGCAAATGTGGGTTTGCTGCAGGGTCTTTGGGCCCAGCGCCATTTCCAAAGCCCACAAAAGGCCTCATCAAAAATGAGCTTCGCACTCACATTGCCTTGGGCGAGGAAATCCGATTAAACAATTAATGTTGTGATAATAAGCGGTGTTAGACCATTTAATGTTTTTGTTGTACTAATATAGGCTTGCCCAACCTTTCTGGAGCCAAGATGTACTTTTCGAGCAGCCAACCTCCCGCAATGGACCACTTCAGTCGTGTCAGAATACAATACACCCGCTTGACATCACGTCACTCACTCACTCTGCTTCTCTGCCACACTCACATGCGCGCGCACATGCTTACGGTCACAAACACGCATACACACACTCCTGCGTGCGCATAGGCACACAAGCCCTGATGAATCGTAGCCAAATTAACCAGATACAAAACATCGTAGATCTCTGAGTTTGAAAAAAGGAACTCACTGCACACAAATTGTACCAATGAGGCTAAAATCGATGCCTCTATTTCAATCTGACATGACATAACCACATATAGTCCCTTTAAATACTGCGAGTTGCCTCGGGAGGGCAGTTTGTCATAAATGGGTCATGACGGGCAAGCAGTGACAGCAATAGAAAAGCAGAGCGGATCATTTCGTGGAAAACAGAGTGATGAGCAATACTTCGGAATGGAGGAAAGCACCTGCAGCAGGCTGTTGGACCTTTAAATTGTTCAGATTCCACCAGAAATAAATACCTTCCAGGGGTCAACTTTCACCATTATCAATTTAAATTCTGCACACAAATAATTTTCATAAAATGTTTATACTGTTGGGTGAAGTGCAAACATAACTTATACAGGTAACATTTGTAAATACTGAAACCAGAGTTCATGGTATCTGGAGTTATTGTTTTGCATTCCTATTTCATACTGCAATTTGTTCTTGTTTAAAAAAAAAAACATTACGGATGATTGTCCCTATTATTTCACTTGTAACGTTTTATTTGTAATTCTTGTGCGTGCTCTTGTGCATTGACATAGGACGGGGGAATCAGGGGAGTGTCATTTTCATCCGATTCCACTTTCTCGAATCTTCTTAGACTTTGTGAGACCTTAAACTGTCAAATTTCAAATCTCCATTAAAACATGCTTCCTTTTTTCCAAACCATAACTTCCTCTCAAATTTGAAGAGTATTTATTTAATCCAGATCCCAAGCATACTAAACAGTTTCACACAGAAATAAAAACCTCCTTTGTAGTTCTCAAATTGGTTGATTTCAATTGAGATGAATTATTTTTTCCCCCCAATACCACAACCTAAAAATGTATGCACCGATAAAAATAAAGTAAAGCTGATTTGATAACAACAATGTCAAGTATGTACATCATACTGAATGACTACTGTTGCCCGGGTGTTTTAGTATACTAATCAAACCCAAACATATACAACATTAATCATACACGGATTAATTATGGGTTTGGCGGAAATGATCGCTCCTTGTATAAATAGGATGCTTCAGGTTTCTGAACACACACGCACACGCACACGACAGGCGCATAATTGTCTATGAATATTTGAATATTTCATAACACAAGGAACTCTCATCCCATTAATCACAACAAATCTGCACGCTGCACCTGATCATGTGCATTCTAATTGGCTGTAATGACAATAACCTTTACTCTAATTGGCTATGTCGGTGTTCTAATATGAGCATCAAGCGTAAGGTGGCGTGCCCATGATGGAGTGTGGTAGTACGTGTGTGTGTGTGTGTGTGTGTGTGTGTGTGTGTGTGTGTAAAAACACCATCTATATGCGGAGATGGCACACTGACACACACCATGTCACCATGACAGTTTTGATTATCTTGGTATTAAGGTGCTAACAGGCTTTATTGCCAGTATGATAAATTACACTTGGAGGAATGTATTTGCAGCTAAAAAGTGAACAACTTGCAACATTGATTTTTTTTTTTTTTAATGTCGTCACAGAAAGGATTAATCTGTGAGTCTGTGTGTGTGCGCATGTGTGTTTGAGCTCACCTTGCCTATAAAAGGGATGTCTACAGATCCCCAAGTATCCGCCGTCCAGTGCACAATCCCCGATGCAAAGTCTGCTGTCAAGATTCCCAGCACTACAACATAAACATATACATAAAACAAAATGTAATAATAGTAATCACTACAACAGCAATAATAACAACAATATTTTTTTTAGTAAATATCGCAATAGTAGCGCTAAGAATCATTATCAATCAACAAAAGTATCCAAATAATAACAATAACAATAATAAAAATAATAATTTCTGTAAGGCTTTCTAGCCCACGACACTGAAGCTGGAATAGAAAATGGCTGGATTGATGTTGTGGAGGTCTATATACCTGTGTGTGTGTGTGTGTGTGTATACATAAATATATATATATATATATACACACACACACACACACACACACACACACACACACATATAAGTACATACACTTTTGACTACACTTTAGTTTGAATACACTTCCGCCCTTTCATAATTTTGCTGTTGTAAATTGGGAATTTCTCCATTGTAAGACAAATAAAGGTTTTCTTATCTTATTTCTTGACACACACTGTCCAATGTTTTAACTAATATTCTTACAAATGAAAGAGATTATTCTTGTTCTCGCCTTCTTGGGTTAGGTTATTGTTCTATTTCAGGAGTGGCAAAATACTTGCCACATTGAAGTTTTGGTTGGCTTCAAGATGAAACCATACAAATCCACAATCTCTTGATTCTGTTGGCTTGGAAATCAAAAGTAGTGGCAAGACTTTGAATTCCGTTTTTAAAAAGGGTTGCATAAATATGATGACAGTAAGAAAAATTGTGATCCCGGAAGGAACTTTAGCAAAATAAAAATAACTTTTATACATATTCTTTAGCAACTTTGAAAAGCTACAAATTGTTTTACAACACACAATATACAAGGACAAAATACATTAGACAAAGTATTTGTCTAAAAAGGGCAGTCTGATTAATATTGTGTTTGTGGAGTATAAATTCAGCACCATGATTGGTTGTTACCTGAGCAACTGTGATGTCATTTTCAGTCGACAGTAAGTGGCAAAATGGCCGCCCCCCAGAGATGGCTGTATTTTGCTCCTTGATTAATATTCCACAAACACAAGAACAATCAGAAGGCTATGTTTAGACTAGTGGAGGCACACAGAACATACTATCGTTAACATTTTGGGGTTGACTTCCCCTTTTAAGATCTCCGTTTTGGCTAATGAGCGAGGTTTGCTAGTGCATGCTTGCATTACACAGCAAGAACCCGATTTATTTCAAATTACTGTTTATATGAAAGAAAGATCCCCAGGTATATTTGCTGTTATTATTATTTTGGGGGGTGGGGGAGTAAATATTTTCTCATTTCAATTACACAGAAATATATCCGTACGTCCTGCCTAGAGACATGCCTTTGGAAATGTATTGAGGTCCAACTCACCAATCCCGAGGATGATCTTGTAGATGTGTAGAGTGGAAAAGTGCAGGAGGAGCAAAGTGAAGTTGATAACAAAGAGGACGAGGCACACGATTACACACACCCACTCCTGGACACGCTTACCTGAGAACACACACAACCCACACGATTCAAACTATTGTCTGAGCGAAGACACAAGAAAGTTGAGAGTTCCATGAACTGGTGGGTCATAGTGTGCGCGCGCGTGTGTGTGTATGTGTGTTGAGGATTTTAATATGTAATCAGTGAGATGAAGACAGATGTACTCAGGGCTGAGGGGTCATGACCTCTCATATGTGTAACACCAACGCTGACGCAGCACTGAGGCCGCTTGGACAGACACACACGCACACTTGGGCCGTTTCAGGTGGGACGTCGGCCTCATCAGAGAGGTCAAGCAGTATTCATTTCATGACTTTTATTCGAAATTCACTAATCAGCACTTTTAGAAGCGAGGGACACGCACTTAGTCATCGTAAATTATTGAAAACACACACAGCGCTGGTCTGGAGCTCATTTATCATGATTCGAGTAGGTTCTGGTCCTTTCATGATGCTTCCACTATTTCTCTCTTTCTTCGGAACCGTCGGATCATGTGACAGCTCGCAGCCAATAATGGTTCACAAGTGTACAAACAAACAGAAATCGGTGTTCTGTTTGAAAAGTTCTTTTCTACTTACATCTCCACGCTGCTCTTCGTGAAAGTTTAATGCACTTGGATCCTCCTTTATGACAGCATTAGCAGCCTATAAGATATTAATGGCAGTTTTTGAATAAAGCGCACAGACCTCCGTGTGGGCGCGCCTATAGACCAGAGCCACTATTAATATGCTCTCATAAAGGATGAGGCAAAGTGGTCACGGGAGATTCAAGAGATGTGATTATGGATATTTCACGAATTGTCAAACGTGACCCTTCACCTTCTGGAAACGTTATCAAAGTTGGAGAGAGACCGAAAGAATTGTTCGAATGGAGATTTAAGTTGAGCTCTCCATGGTTTTCACTTCAATCAGAGAAAATGGTGGTGGTTGGATGTAAAGGGGATAAATTAGGCTTGCGCGTTCAGAGTCAATGGAGTTTGTGCTCGTAAGAAGGAATACATAGTGAATGGAAATATATTTCTGCCTTAGCGAATAAATCTAAGCGGCTGCAGCAGCACAGTGAAACAGTAGTAAGCGCATTTTCTGAGGTTTAGAATCGCAACTCATAGCCTTCCTGCCTTTACATGTTGGCCCAAGGTTATGTGTGTGTTTTGTTTTTTGGTTTTTTTTGGAGGCACCAACACTCAAAAACAATATCATTTGCATTTACTGAGGTTAATTTCCAAGGTTGTCCGATGTATTTTTTTAATATAAAAGTTATTTTACACATCAATAAAATCAAATATTTTTTTTTCTTTGATTTGATTCGAGTATGTATGAGGTTAAATTTTATAACCCGTTGGTTATTTCCAACTTTTTCTCTAGGGAGTTGTTTTTGACTACTGTTCTCTGTTTAAAGATTATCACTTGATTGAAGCATGTTCACTGCTTTTGACTTTGAGTTACCAAAGTGGTTAGCGCGTCGACCTCACAGTGCAGGGGTCGCGGGTTCGATCCCAGCTCCGGCCTTCCTGTGTGGAGTTTGCATGTTCTCCCCGGGCGTGGGTTTTCTCCAGGTACTCCCATTTCCTCCCACACAAAAACATGAATGGCAGGCTGATTGATCACTCAAAATTGTCCCTAGGTGTGAGTGTGAGCGCGGATGGTTGTTCGTCTCTGTGCGTCCTGCGATTGGCTGGCAACCGGTTCAGGGTGTCCCCCGCCTACTGCCCGAAAATGGCTGGGATAGGCTCCAGCACCCCCTGCGACCCTTGTGAGGATAAAGCGGATCGGAAAATGGATGGATAACACAACTGCAGAGGGAGCCCTGGAGCAATATAAACAAAAACAAAAACAATCCTTGCTGATGTTTTAATACGTATCGATACATTTAAGATGATTCAATCCACACAACCTCGGCCTATGTATACTGACTGAGGCTAGCAGAGTAGTTAGCTGCTTCTATGCTTCATTGGACACACACACACACGCACACGCACACACACTTTATGGGATCAATACAACCAAATTCACTGATTAAACAGTCACACACACGATGACACTCCAACTGACGGATCCCCAAATTCGCTCTCGCATCACTTTGGCACACATTCCTGTCTTGTGACATCAACACACGTTCAAACACTCCATCAGTGAAGCGCACACACGGCGTAGGGTCGCGGAGCAGAGGGGCGGCTGTCAGGTGATGTGCGTCAGTCCTTGGATCCTCTGGCTCCCTGGTGAGGGGAAGGAAACTAGGACAGGCCTCCACTGAGCGTGTGTGCGCGCACACACACACACACACACACACACACACGCACACACACGTAAGCTCATGTCCCTAAGGCCATGGCTTTGCTGGATATCACACACAGCTACGGACAGACACACAAAACAGCCTTTAAGAGCACAAATGAAAAAATAAATACAAATGCTTCGAGAGACAATAATAGACAAAAATAGCTCAAATTAGCACAAACACACACACACACACACACACACACACACACACACACACACACACACACACACACCGAGCGTCAAGTACAGCTAGCATATCAACAACGAAATTCGAAGTTGCACGCACAGCCTCACCTAAAGTTGGAACAAAAACACAAAAATTGGAGCCCACGATTCTCACACACACACACACACAGACAGAGCCCACACACACACACACACACACACACACACACACACACACACACACACACACACACACACACACACACACACACACACGCGCGAACACAGGCACCCTCATTAATATTGTTCTGACAACAACCCTCCCTGGTAACCCCTTTGCCATCGCTCACCCTGCTGCACCCCCTGCTTGAGAGCGTGCACGTGGGCGTGCGCGGCAATTTAACCTGGGCGGGGCCGCGGGTGGGGAACGAGGGGCGCTAATAGGCTGAAATTAATCAACGTGCCTGATTTGCTGTCTAGGGAATGAGTGGCGGCCAGCAGGCAGCCGGCACATACTGAATACTAATGCAGGGCACACATGAACACACTTGAATACACAACATAGTATTACACGATCATATGGAGAGAATTAGACCAAAGAAGACGAGGCTGCTTCCTGGTGTTAATTTGAACAAGAGGTGAAGTCTGGGCCAAATGGAAGCCATCACATTAAGAATTGTGTTAAATCACCATTTTTTTTTTTTTTTTTAGCTTTTGGTGGAGCTCTGTGCAACCCGGGCTCCCTGAAGTAGTGTACTTTACTTTTTTTATGAGACTACAATGACTAACATATGTTATGTAAAGAAACAAATGCCCAATCAGGAGCTTGTTCAGACACAAAAGCGCTGCTTTATTAGCTATAATGTGATTTATTCCTCGCTTCAGAATTTAATAATGTCTAACGAAGAGCCAAGTCATTAAAATGTGTTTCTTCTATAAAAATTAGGCGACTGGCCACAACATGAAGTAGAGTGCCGGGTGTGGGAAGAGGATGGATGGTGGGGCGGGGCAATAGCGCACCTGATCCAGTTCTTCACAAATAGTGGGATAGAGCCCCCTGTGGGGCGCGGTGTGATACCAAGGGCACGTGTGACCCCAGGGAACATGCTTTTTTTGTTTTTGCCATTTAAGGATAATGTATTTGCACATCCGATACAGTGTTTACAATTTTTTTTATACTTTTTTTGTTAAAGCGAAACCGATAAAATGCTTAGGATGCAGTGTACAGTAGCACAAAAATATATAATAAAAACACACACACAGACACACAAATCTTTTCTTTTTTTTTTTTAAATAAACCCATTTCCCTCGACACCCCCGCGATCAACTATGGACCAGTCCGCGGGCTACCGGATCGGGATCGGCTAGTTGGGTGCACCTGCCTTAGAGAGATTGACACACTGGAAAGTCCAAGTACGACTATTATTATTATTCATTCATTCATTCATTTTCTATATATTATATATATAGAGATGGCTCTCACTGAAATACATTTCCAAATATTTTGCTTTCATGGCTCTCTTCGTCAAAAAGGCTCCCGACCCCTGGTTGAGCACCTTCCTATCTTGCTGATTTCTCAAGCCTTCCGCTCACAACATGCTAGCCTTTTGGCTAGCACTTGGAACTGCTAGCTGACTAGAAAGCAGAAATAACACCTGCTTTTCCATTGAAGAAAGCATCGATAGGGCCGCGTTAAGCTGAGTAGGTACTGTGCAGTGAGAAAGGGACATGCAGTCGGTAACCTCCCATTATTAGCTCTTCCAGAAAATCAACATTCATCGAGGTGCGGAGAGTGCGGACTATTAGGATGCACACCACAAAGGACAATAAAACACAACATAGACGACTGCGCTTCTGTTTTTATCCTTCGTCTCTCATTGTGTGTCCCTGGTTTGTTCTCAGTAGACCGTCTTCAGATGGGACGTGGAGCGAGTGGAGGGTAAGGGGGGGGGGGGGGGGGGTGTTGTTGTTGGTGGTAAAAGTGGGTCACATGCTTGGAGAGAATGAAAAAGAGGCATAGGGAGATGGGGGAGAAAGACAGTATCAGGGTGAGAGGGGTGAGGGTGGGGGGGACGACACACAGAGGATGGGGGGGGTGTTAAATTCCCTTGTTCAGGAGGAGTGGATCAGTCACAGGCCTCATTCCTTTCATGTGATCTCTGCGGACCTCAGAACTTGGGACACACACACACACACACACACACACACACACACACACACACACACACACACACACACACACAAAACAAACATGAAAGAAAAACA